TGATTCAGATGGTGATAAATGTGATGGGGAAAATAATTCAGTGATGGGAGGAGGGTTGGGGGCACTGGATCTGAGCTTATCAGGATGAACACTTCATAAGGTATATAAATGTCTAATCACTGTGTTGTACACCTGAAATTAGGATGATATTGTATATCCACTGAAATTGGAAAATAAATTATTATTTTTTATTTTAAAAAGAATTCAGTGATGGGCTTGCAGGAAAGTGGTGATGTTAGGGAGGAAGCTTTCCACCATCAGCACCATCAGGGAAGGGGGAGCATCTGAACTGAAGCCTAACTCTTGTGAGCAGCCCCAGTCCAAAAACCTGGGCATCCTTAACACCTTTCTGTCCCTACCATCTCACATTGTACCAATTCGTATTCTCTGAACCTCAAGCCCAAAGAACCAGAACTACAGAGCTTCAGCCTCCTCTCTGTGAATTTCTCCAGCCCAGCCTTGCTCAAGGATCCTGATTTTTGCCATGGGATGCTAAAGGGAAGGTCCAGAAATCCCCCTCAGACCCAGCAGTGAACTGGATAGTAGAGTCTCCCAGATGACAAAGGGATGACCCAGGGAAGCAAAAGGGGTTCCGTCTGATACCCAGCAGTTCCTCCCTAAGCAAAGGGACCCCAACCACCAATATCAAAGGTTTATATTCAGGATACCCTAGGGATTCTAGGGCATGGATAGGGAGAAGCCAGGAAGGGCAGCCAGGGGAGTGTGAGGCAGCTGTAATTGCACAAAAAATATGTGATTTATTAGAGCCAGGGATGGCTGAGGGGGAACACTAGTGAAAAAGATGGAAACATCTTTCTCCAGATAGACTTTTAGTCCCACTTTCCAACTGTTTAATGAAATTTTCATATGAAATGTATATACATACAGAGATTTTAAGTTGCAGTGTCCTGGGCACTGCCACTGCTCCATTTATTCTTTTTGTTCATGTGGTTTTGGGAACTTTCATGGACTCTAGTGTTTTTGCCTAACAAGCATCTGCCCCCCTTTTTGGGTGGCAACAAACAACTGCCCTACAGGGAACACTCATTCTGAAGTCCAAGAAATGTGGATGGACCTGGTCTCACCAACTCCTTTTCCCCACAAACACCTCTTCTCAAGTTGGAGGTCTTAGACAATCAGCAGAGCCCATTGCTGTGATCTTCACCTTTGGTTCAGGGAAGGCATGTGACCCAATTTGCCCAATAAAATGCAATTCTGGAATTTTTGCTTGAATACACTTTCAATTTTTGATCTCAGCTCAGGGGAGCAGACAGAACCCTGGAAGCTGCTGCCTTCAGAGAGTACGATGTTCCCTGGTCATGGGACACACACAGTGGCACACTTCAGATAGGGCCCTCAGGGAAGGTCTCTCAGAGGAGGGGCCTGAAAGATGAGAAGGTGCCAGCCATGAAAGGATCTGGGGGAAGAGCGGTCTGGGAAGAATCAACAGTATGTTGGAAAGAGAAGCACCTTCTTTGCTTGAGTGGCTGATATGAAGGATAACACAAGCCTCCAGTGTCAGAGGTCACTACCTGAAGAGAGACAGGCCAAGAGAGTGAACAGAGGCAAAGGTAAAAAGAGAGAGATACTATCTGAGCTCCTGGATCCAGCCATGCCCAAAGATAGACAGCCCTGTGTTTTCAGTTACGTCAGCCAATAATTTAGTCTCTTTTTTTGCTGAAGTTAATTTGAAGTCCCTTTTCTGTCCCTGGCATTAACTCAGACTGCAGCTTCTGGGAGTCAAGTGCAGGGCTGGGCATCCTACAGAGTGGAGAAATAGTGACAGAGCACACAGATGTCAACTGCCATTGCAAGTTAAGCACCAGACCCAGAACTAGAACTCAGGTCTGAGAGCAGAGCTCAGCTTCCCTCTCTGTACTGGGGTTTGTAAGGTTTGAATGAGATTAACACAAGGCAAGTGCCTGGCTCGTAAGCACTCAAAAACCCTGATTACCTTGATTACTTCCCAACACCCGCATGAAGCTGGTTTCCAGGGAACAGAAAGTGGAGACAAAATTTTGGGGGTGGCAGGGTTATCAGGTCACAAAAAGGGGCTGTGCCTCCAGGGCAGAGGTGAGATACCAGTGCTGACTCTATTTACCCTCATTCAACCCTCACCCCAGCAGTGACAAGATCCATCCTAAACCCTAATGATGAGTCAGAGGAAGCCATCAGTCCTACTCATTGCACAATGGCTGGACCTTGACCCAAGCCTTCCTCCTGCTCCATCTGGTGACTCAGGAAGCACCCAGCCCTGACATTTTCACTTTCTTAGTTTATCAAAGAAAGCTGCTGCCACCCAGTATGGCCTGGCTGGGGCTTCTTGGAGTAGCCGGTGGTCTTTGTAAGTTGGGGTGGATCTCATGATGCCCATTGCACTTAGGAAAAAATCTGCCCTCCTCCTAGTTGCCCACAAGGTTCTTGCCCCTCTCCCTGGCCCCTCACAGCAGCCGCTCCTGCTTCCTTACTCTTCTACCTCCAGATCTTTGCATGTACGGCCGATTCTTCCCTGACTGCTCTTCCCCCAGATCCTTTCATGGCTGGCACCTTCTCATCTTTCAGGCCCCTCCTCTGAGAGACCTTCCCTGAGGGCCCTATCTGAAGTGTGCCACTGTGTGTGTCCCATGACCAGGGAACATTCCACTCTCTGAAGGCAGCAGCTTCCAGGGTTCTGTCTGCTCCCCTGAGCTGAGATAAAAAACTGAAGTGTATTCACCCTTCCCAAACACTGCAGGGCTAGAGTTCCCTAAGTGATGCAGAAAGGACACAGACATACCCAGTTCCCTACTTTTAAGGCTTATTCTCTATCCGTTAAAGATAGTGAGCACTTTGGGCCTCATATTATATTTGTTCACTGTTTTCCTGGGTCCTCAGAGCTAACACAAGACTAGGCACAGAGGGGTAATTAGGAAGTGTCTGTTAAATGAATCATCTTCTGACTGGGAAACTCCTATTTATCCCTCCTCCAGAAAACCCATACTGACCCCTGAGGAGAACTGTGCTCCTCACCCTCGGCTCACCAAGACCTGGGTCCTTCTCCAGCCAGTCCTGATCCGAAAAAGCTGGGAGTGTCCAATTGTTGAATAGCTCCGCTTTAGTTACAGAGCACGTCCAAGTGTAAGCCAAGAGATGAATCCTTATACACCATTTCCTGCTGCCTCCAGGATTTTGTTTTCCCTCATCTACTCCATAGATCTGCTTGGTTCCATTTGTTCCTTGCCAGTTTCCCCAGCCTCAACTTGCACCCTTCCCTTTCTCATGTCCTCCATTCCAGCCTTGCTGCATCCTGCCTCAGGGCCTTTGCTCAGACTTCTGTCTAGAATGCCCTTTCCCCTGCATCCAGACCCTAACACTACTCAACATAAAGCCTCTAAATACAAGCTAAATAAAAACCTAAACTGCTGAGCGTTCTACCTGGCCCAGCCCCTGCTGATTCTCCAGCTGTGTGACAACAGGAAAGTGACTTCAACTTTCTGAGCTTTGCTGTCCTCCCATGTTAAATGGGAACAGTGGTGATCCTCATGGCAGATTCTTGGGAAGATTAAATAGATAATGCTAGTAAAGCACTTAGCTTAGTGTCTGCTTCCTTGCCAGCATTCAATAACTATTAGGGGAAGCAAACACTACTTCAGGATGTGTTTTCATGCCTTGCTTTTCTGCACAGCCTTATAAGGAATCTTAGTTGATCTGGGATACCTCCATTGCATGGAGGTAAATTTGGACCATTGGACTGAGAAGGCAAAGAATAAACCATCTAGGGCCTGTCTTTGACTTCCAAACCAGGCCTTCATCAGACAGAGTTTTGAAAACAAAGCCAGAGCCAGGTTTGATTATGATGCGAAAAGGAGAACCAGTCAACAGAGGCCAGAAATGCCAGGCACAGTGCTCACTCCTTACAACTGAACAGGTAGGGGTTAGATGAGGATGCAGGTACCTGGGCCCCCCACCCTGGGCTGAGTGTGGGGTTGAGGGTGAGACAGGGCAGGACTGCCACGGAGAGTAGCAAGAGGCTGGTAGCTGAGGGAGGCAGGGACTTGGGGGATGGCTCTAGGGCAGGGGTCCCCAACCTCTGGGTCGGGAACCAGTAGTGGTCTGGGCCTGTTAGGAACCAGGCCGCACAGCAGGAGGTGAGCTTGAATGTAATGTTCTTGAATTATCCCAAAACCATCACCCCCACCCCATCCATGGAAAAATCATCTTCCATGAAATGGTCCTCAGTGCCAAAAGGGTTGGGGACTGCTGCTCTAGGGACGGCAGGACCAGGGAAGGGCAAGCAGGCTAGCTCCTCCTGTTGCAACCACCAGAGGGAACATCCAATGACAACACATTGCTGATGCTTGGCTGAGTTGCAACTGAACTCCCCCACGCAGACCCCCTGCCCACTGTCCAAAAGCCCAAGACATTTACAATCCCAACCTATGTGACAAAAGAGGATTCCCAACCTTCAGGGGATACTTACTGGCTTTTCTTTTGGTGGCCCAACAGGCTTCTCTTTTTGGTGGCCCAATGTCTGAGTCCCCAACCAAGCCTGGGGAGTCCCCCCATGGGAAGTCAGCCCCCACTAACAAAAGCCCCAGAGCCAACAGTGTGATGGATCAAAACATGGGCCTGTTCCCCATCCATTCCCATTTCCTACCCTTTACCTCGCCATTGTGCATCATTCCTTTGTAAGAAGGAGATTTATTTCCCAGCCCTGATTCTGGGCTTGGCCATGTGATTTGCTTTGGCCAATAGCACACGGGCAAAAGCATCAGCATACAAGTTCCAAACCCGGCCCTCAGGAAGTCTCATGTGACTCCACTTGTCCTCTGGCCCCATTGTGGGAGGACATTATTTTGGCTGCCTGCTGGTCTGAGGATGAAGACAGGTAGGGCTGAGCACTCCCCCACCTCACCCCACCCTGCTACTCCCCATCCTTGCACCTGGAAGAGAGATGCCCAGCTGAGGGCAGCATAGAATAGGGATCCACAACTGAGTCACAGATACATGAAAAACACCCATTTATTTTTGTATGCCATTGAGATTTGAGTTGTTACAAGGAGGCAACAGCTGACTAGCACACTCATGTACTCACTTTTCCAGGGACACAGGCAGCTAGGTTGGCACAGGACATGGGGTAGGCCAATAGGATGTTTCCACCCAGGAGCAAGTGATACAAAGAAACACAATCAGGGCAGGCGCATCCAGTTTCCAGGGGCGGCTATGGCTGAGTGCCAAGAACAGATCGCATTGCCATTTGAGACATCTGGATTCTGTGGTGGTGGCACAAACACCCTCACCAATCAGTCACCTGATCTGACTTCAGTTGATCACCCCCGCTGCCCAGCCACCTTGATTCTTCCTATTTTCTGAGCCTGGTTTTCCCACCTTCCCGCCGCTTCTATGAGCATTCCAGCAGCCTTCCAATGCATGTTTTTGCTATTGAAGTTGGACAGATCAGTTTCTGTTATTTGCAAAAACAAAACAAACAAACAAAAAAACCCTGACTTATGGTAAGATTGGGAAACCTCAGCTCATTACCTTTATATTATAATTTTATAAGTGTCTGGGTTGCAAATATTAGAATAGTTGACCACTAGTATCTTAAGATATTAAGTATATTAAATACCATAGACATCGTGATTTCTCATAAAAAGGAATCTGGAGATCAGAGTTTCCAGGGTGGGACTGGTGGCTTCATGATTTCTGGGTTCTTGGAGGTGGCATCTCTGTTCCTCTCTTAATGCTCCTCATGGCCACAAGATGGCTGCAAAAGCTCCTGGCATCCTATGTCCTCATAGGAAGCATTAAGGGATGGAAGAGGGCAATAAAGCTTCTCCCGTGACCAGAAACTCCCACCCCAGACCTTCCCTTAAAGCTTACTGCCCAGAGCTGGGAAGTTCGCCCAGACTGAAAACAACCCCTGCAAAAGGCATTACCAAGAAAATCTAAGCCAAATCCTAAATTAACCCCCACCCGAGGCTGGGCACACTGCTGCTGGCGCCAAATCAGGGCTCTGTGGGTGAGGAAGGAGAAATGGCTGCCAGGCTGACCACAGCAGAGCCAGCCACAAGAATTGGGCTGGGGTCTAGTTGTGGAGAAGCATGGACTCATGGACCACCTGCCCTTGGGGGTCCGCAGATAGCACCCACAGATGCTAGAGTGGATGAGGCTCTGCGCCCACCTTCCCACCCAACCTCTCATTTGTGCAATAAACATTCCTGGCAGTGCCTCCTGGGACACACGGCCAGGTGCCCCTAATAAAACCCATGCTTGGAGACTCCACCATGAGAAGTGAAATCTCCAGGGCCCGTGAGAACAGAGGAGCTATAGCTGCATTCCAGGACACAAAGCCAGGGGCAGATTTCCAAACTGGCCAGGTCCAGGGCAGATTCCCACCTCACACAGCTCCCCCAAGGCCCCTTTGGCCCTTACTTGCTGCGAGGCCCCAGAAGTCACACTTGGCCTCCCTCTCACGAGCCTGCATCCCACTGTCCCCAGAGACAGCGTTTTCCCACAGCCCCGGCCCAGGTGCAGAGGGAGGCTCCGGCAGCCGAGTCCAGGGCCTCGGTGGGGAAGCAGGCCATCTGGAAGGAGACGGGCTTTCCTCAAGCTCGGTCCCCATGCACAGTGGATGCTGTCCTGGGTGAAAGGTGAAGGGAAGTGATAAGGTGATGAGCTGCAGACCCCTTCAGGGTACCACACAGAAATGGCCAGACTGGGCCAGGGATGTGTGTGCAAGCTATTTATTCAACTGTGGATGAGCAAACACATGTGTGCAGGTATGCCTGAGTGTGAGCATGTGTGTATGTGTGTGCAAGCCTCTGTGTGTATGTGTACACATGTTCTGCCTTTCTCTGAAGGACACAAACGTTCACAAAGTAAAGTTTCAAGCCAGTTTCTACTAAATTAAAAACAGCTTTTTCGTGTTTAAAGTTTACAATACAAAAAAATAATTTTCCTTTCTTCCAGGGGGGTGGGTGGAGAAGGAGGGATAGGGGGCCCCTGAGAACATTCCATGGACCAGCCCAGACGGTTACGCACAATCAACCAGTTAGATACAGCAGCGCCCCCTCCACTCTGTGCCGGCACCCCTGCCAGCTCATTGGGGACAAGATGTTCTGAGGTGTGAGCTGATCTGGGGGAACTTGCAGCTGGCAAAGGCTCCTCACTGCCCCCCTGAAGGGGCTGTGCCTCCAGCAAAAAAAGGGGTCTCTTGGGGGAGCTCAGGTTAGGGCAGTGGGAAGGGGCTGAGATGTTCTGGTAAAACCCCAAGGGCCACGGCTTTCCTTTCAATGCCCCTGGCAGCGTGGGCTCCTTCCTCATTCCCAACCAAATTCCTATTTCAACACTGCCTCCTCACTCAGCCTCACCCCAGGCTGCTGGACAGGAGCACCAGGCCTATGGTACCTTTTGAAGGTGACCTAGAAGCCTCCCCTCTCAGAAGGCTATAACATGAACAGCAGGCATTGTCCACTAATGTGCACAGTGAGGCTGCCACAAAAGCAGGGACCAGGGGTAGCTCATAGACCTCTTAGGCCCTATGGAAACGTGATAACTTCATGCTTTCTATTTATTTATTTATTTTTAGAGAGGGGGCAGGGAGGGAGAAACAGAGGGAGAGAAACATCAATCAGTTGCTTCTCATACAGGCCTCAACCCAAATGGGGACTGAATTCACAGGCCAGGCATGTGCCTTGACTGGGAATCAAATCGGCAACCTTTCACTTGATGGGACAACATCCAACCAACTGAGTCACAAAGGTCAGTGACTTCATGCTTTGTTTAGGCCTGCTCTTTCTTTTCTGCGTTGCAGTCTCTGGGTAGAGGAGCTCCATAGCCACATGATCTTGCACCCCAGGCCTGAGCATATGGAGACAGAACCTGAGCATATGGAGGCAGAACCTGCTAAGGCTGGGAGTTGGCTGGTCGCAGGGGGCTGGGCCACCAGGCACATGGAATAGCCTTGAGAGTCGCTGGGGCCCACTGGGTTTGCCATCTGTCTTACCAGTGCCGAATAGTAGTCCCGGCTCCACTTCCCACTGCCCTCACTCATACCCCTAAGCTAAAGACTGGCCCCCCTTCTAGCTCTTCTGCAAGGATGGGAAAGGGTGAACTGGGAGAGGGGTCCCCAAATGCCCAGAGGACAGGAGGAATCTGTGACCTATCAGGCTCCACAAGCTCAGTGCTGGGCCTGCTCCATCTTTCACCATAACATTTTTATTAAATACTAGGAAAATATTAGGAGACAACGTCTGCTAAGGTATGAGGTTAATTCTTTACACAGCGAGTGGGTCACAGAGACATGACATCAATCATCTGTTAGCAGCAGAGAGACACTTTAAGTTGCCCCAAGGGTACAAACCCCATTTATAAGACAGCAGTGCTGGCTGCTTTAAAAAAAAAAAAAGCAAATGGAACAACAGAAAAAAAGGTTTAGAGACCAAAACAAATGCAGCCATAAATGCTGTGAAGCCCTTGAAAAGAAAGGTTCCCATCTGCCCAACTTTCTGCACTGGTAGCCTTGAGCCAAGTGGCACTTTGACCTGAACACAGGACCAAGGGAGTACAAGGCTGGAGAGTGGACAAAATAAAGATCCTTGAACAGACCTGTGGAATGCAGACGTACTGAGATTCTAAAGCAGCATCCTCTTTCATCTGTGGGACAGGGACATTGGCCCAATTCTCCTTAGGGCCCTCCACATTGCCCAGTGGGAGGCCTGAACCTATAAAAACCATCTCCAGGAGCTGGCTGTGGTTTTTCCTTCTGAAAGCAAATGAACAAACACCTTGAGGGTCTCAGACCAAGGACAGGAGTAGGGGCAATTGCCGAACCCTCCCTATGGCCTTCCTCCCACTCAACAGCTTGGGCTCATTTTGGAGACAGAATTACCCTTGGTCATCACCTCGATCTGGGTGCTTCCAAGCCCCTCCTGCTCCAAGGGGTCCAAATGACAGAGATGTGGAGTGCAGTTATTTTAAAACACACAAGCACAAGAAACTTGGGAGGAGGAAAGTGGCATACCATGAATTTGGAATGACACCAATGAGCCCTCATCTGAATGTCTGAGACTGCCAGGCTGAGGAGTGGGAGAGAAGCGGGGCACAGTAACACTCCCGATTCCCGATTCCCGCCCCTGAGTGAGGACCCTGTGCAGATGAGAAAACTGCCTGAGGCTCAAGTTTTCTGCCATAACATGTCAGCCTCCTCACTGGCAGGCTCCCTGGGCAGGCGCAGAGCCAAGCTCTGCTTCAGGAAGGAAGGACCCTAGGAAAGAGGCTTATCAACACAGAGGGCCTACACAACCAGCCAGGGGTGGGTGGTCAAAGGTTTGGGGTCGGGGTGATGAGGTTCTCCATAGGATATGTGCTCACCAAGCCTCTGGCAAGAACAGCATGCAGCCAGGTCATGGCAGGAGGGGGTGTCCTAGTAGCTACCTCCTGCTCCCAGCACGAGGCAGCAGGACTGAGGCACAAGCGATGCCTGCAAAGGACTCAGGGAAGTGCAGGTCACGTTCCCACTCGTCCGTCTCGGTATTATACACCTGCACAATGCCTGTCACGTTGTTGAGGCGCCAATTATAGCCCCCAACAACATAGATTTTCCTGTCCAACAGGCAGCAACCAGCCTCTGACTGGCCAGCCCTCATGGGGCTCACGCTGGTCCACTGATCGGTCTCAGGCACATAGTACTCCACAGCCAGCACATCAAAGCAGCGGTCCACATGGTCCATGCGGCCACCCAGGGCATAGATGCGGCCACCAGCCCCCACCATAGCGTGCAACACTCGGGGCTCACTCATGGGTGCCTTAAACTCCCACTGGTCGGCTGCAGGATCATAGCAGTGCAGTGCCTTCTTGTCCTCTACTGAGATGCCATAGCCACCTGAGATGTAGAGGCGGCCCCCAGCCGAGGCACCTGCATGGCCCCAGGTGCGGCGCTTCAGTGAGCAGGCATAGCCCCACTCATTGCGCCTCGGGCAGTATCTTTCAACTGAGGCCAGGCTGCCAGCTCGGTTGCGGCCACCTGTGGCATAGACCATGCCACACAGTGCATTCAGCTGGAACTGGATGCGGCTCTCCTGCATGGCTTGCAGACGCAGCCACTGGTTCAGGTGCGGGTCATAGCGGTAGCAGGTATCTACTGCACCTTCACCACTGCGGTACTGTAGGTGCTGACCCCCAGCCACGTACACAAAGTTGTCCAGCACAGCCACGCATGTGTGGCTGCAGCCCACCTCCATCTCTGTAAGCTCACAGAAATGGCGGGCTCCTGGCTCAGGCAGCTGGTATACTTTACTGCTAACAGCATGGTCACTGTCAGTGTATGGTGTGCCACCAAAAGCCACCAGAGAGGGTACGTCGGAGCGCACAACTGTGCGCGGGGACTGCATCTCGTGCTGCCGAAAGGGCAGCACCTGGTAGTTAAAGGCCTCTAGCAGGTACTGACGGCACAGCACGTCCTCCACCATGAGGTCCAGTGTCTGCACACTGTCCACCAGGTCAGACGAGTGCATGAGTGGGAAACGGATATGGCAGAGCACATGGCTGGCCCGTGGCCGCCGGGCAGGATCGTGCTGCAGCCAGCGGACAGCAGCACGGAACAAGTCAATCTCAGCACAGCTCTGTAGCCGGTTACTCTGCAGGAAGAAGACAAGGCGTTCCAGTGGCAGCTGCAGGAAGTCCTCCTCGGCAGCAATCTGCAAGAAGTGCTGGAAGGTGAAGGCATCCACAGACTCTTTGAGTGAGGCCAGGCTGAAGGTGGTGGCCATATGGCCGATGTGCAGGCAGGTCTCCACGCTCATGGCGGCCTTGAGGAACTCCTCACACAGCTCCACCACTGGCAGCATCTGCAGGAACACAGCTGCACCTAGCACGTCCTGCACACAGTCCAGGTCCAGTGTCACCTCGGCGCTGTAGGCAAAGTCAATGATGTGCCGTAGGCCGCGTGCTGACAAGCCCTTCAGCTCAATGATGTCCTGACTTGCCTCCCTCATGCCACCTGTGAACATGGCCCTAAGGGTCGGAAACATAGCACGTGGGTTCAGGGCACTGAGGGACATTGTGGTCACTGGGATGGCCTGGCCCTGTGACACAGGCTTGGCCCACCAGGGAAAAGCAGGCCAAGTGTACATTAAAGACACGCAAAAAGAAAAGAAAAAAAAGTTTAATCCATCCCAAGTCACGCTCCTTCCTACCAACAGGAACTCTGTACTCTGTCCCAGTGGTGGGGCACTGCCCAACCCTACCCAGATGTGAGCAGCACTGGGGTAGGCTGGTTTGGGGAGTGGGGGCCAGGTCCCCCTCTGACCCCTGCTCCTGGCAGAGTAGTGCCCCTGGCAGGGTAGTGGGGGAGGAGGCCAAACCTTAGCTTTGGCTCTAGGGAGAAGTCTCCAACTCCACCTTAGTGTCCAGCAATGAGGACCAGTCCCTCAATAAGATCAGGAAATACAATGGGGGAACAGCAGGGGAATGCACACCATAGTTCATAGAGTCCACTCCCTCCCCAGCACACTCACCTGAATAGGTGGCTCCACCTTCCCCTGCCTGAGTCTCAGCCGCTACCGTACAGGAATAGTAAGGCAGTAAAGGTCGCAGGTTGAGCACCTATTAAAGGACTCCAACTGGGGTCTCTGATGTGTCCAGAGAAAGGCCCAGGTAATCAGGGAAGCTCCTGAAAATGGCCCACAGGAGTCCCAGACCACTGTGAGACCTCCTAGTGAGTGACCCCAGGTCTGTCAGCTGTGTTTTCCTGCTCTGGGACATAGAACCTGGGTCACAGCCCCTCACAGCCTTTGTTTGGGGGCTCTCCACCAGGAAAAAGGGCGAGAATCCCAGTGCCTGCTAGGAGTTCATAGGAGGTTCTAGAAGATGGTGCAAGCAAACTGGCCTCTCATCGTAACTCTGACGGCCACAACAGCTGACTGAGGGGAGGGAACTTCCCTTGGCTATTTACTAACAGATACCTGTTACTCAGTCACCCCTAGTATGGGCCAGGCTCAGGTGGTGCCTTGGGACCATCAACTAACAACTGCCCAGCACTCCATGAGGCAGTGCCACAGCCCTTCCAAGAGCAGTGCTTTGCCAGCCCCAGGGCCCTGCCCCTTCTTGTCCCTGTGAGTCCCATCAGCCTGTCGAAGGCAGAAGCAGTCATGGCGACGAGAGGGAGCTTTGCCTTTTAAGGCCTCACCAGCTGCAGTACCAGCGCAAAGGAGCCTTTAAAGGGCATTTCTGGCTGGGGCGGCTCGCCCGTCCCCAAATCCAGAATAAAAATAGAAGCGGCGCCCCAGATGGCTTGGCTTCTCTAGCTCCCCAGAAGGGCCTCATTGAGCCCACAGGGCAGGCAGTCGGAGGGCAACTGGGCAGGGGAGAGATGCAGCCTGTGGTGTGCACCAGGGGTGGGGCTCTGTGAGATGGTGGCAGGGATGCCTTGGCCATCACTGGCAAAGTAGGGCCAGAGAACCTACCCCCAGAAGGGAACTTCCAGGCAAAGGTCTTCACAGCAGACTGATCCATGCACCTGGCAAGGCCTCGCCTGTCACGTGGGGACTAGAACAGAACCTGGTACACTCTGGGGCCACTATTGGGGAGTCCCTCCTTTCCTTCGTCCTGAGTACAGGTATCACTAGGGCAGGGACTTGTGCCAGTCTTCTCCCTGCTGGATCCAAGGCCAGCACAGCACCTGGCACACTCAGGTGTCAAATAAAGACAGTGTGGATACCTGGCCAAGCTCTGACATCCCTCAGGGCAGAAGCTGCTAATTGGGTGACCATGGGCCACCTCTGTCCCCCAGGTATGTTCTTGCCTGTGCAATGTCTCCAAAAAGTTTTAAGTAAGTTGCAAATCTGAGAAAAGTAGTAGGTCTACTGGCCATTAGGCCAACACCAGCCACCTTCCCTCATAGCCATCCCTCCCTGGATGGTGCTGAACTTGCCCCTCTCGGAAGGGCCTGCACTCTCCAGCCCACACCCTGAGCCTGTGCTAACCTGAAGTAGTCACTGCAGGCAGCCAGGACCACCTTGTGCGCATGGAAGGTCTCTCTGTTGACTGTGAGCACGACGTCCAGGAGCTGGCCCTGTGAGCGAAGTGTGGCCAGGCCCTGTAGGAGGCTGGTGCTATGGCCAGGCGCTGAGAAGGTGCACTTGAGGGCTCCGTTCTTATCGGCCATGCTGTGGGAGAGCAGGGTGGAGTTCGAGGCTCAGAGGTCTCAGGGCAGGCTGGTTTTAGCCCAGGGACCCTGGGCAGCTCGCCCAGACTCTGAAGCTGCTGCAGGCACAGGCGAAATCACCAGAACTAGCCCCAGGGAAGGAGAAACAAAACTTGGGTCTCAACTGTGTCTGCTACCTACCCACTGACTAGCCTTGGCAGTGGATGTCATTTGCCAAGTGATAATGGCAGGATTTCACATAGGACCTGAGGAGACCACATGTCTCTTTTTTAAAAAATTGAGGTGAGATTCACATAACATAAAGTTCACTACTTAACATGTACAACTCAATGGTATTCAGTACATTCACAATGTTGTATAACCACCACCTCAATCTAGTTTCAGTCCATTTCCATCATCCCAGAAAGAAACCCCATCTCAATTAGCAGTCACTCCCATGCCCCCCATTCCCCTGTCCCCCTGTCCCATCCCCTGGCAACCATTAATCCACTTTCTGGTTCTATGAATTTGCCTTTCTGGACATTTCATATAAATGGAATCAGATAATAAGTGGTTTTTTTATGGCTTTTCTCAGTATTATGTTTTCAAGGTTCATCTATGTTGTAGTGTTTATCAGTGCTTCACTCGTTTTTACGGCTGAATAATATTCTACTGTCTAAGTGTGTGAGTACACAATTTCTTTATCCCTTCAACCATCTATGGACATGTAGGTTGCTTCCAACCCTCTCCTTTTCAAAACTCTATCTCATTATTTTTAATTCTAGATGTGTCTCCTGAGTGCTGCACTCTCCACATCACCAATGTCCCCTATGCCCCAGCAAGCCCCATGGATAAACCCATCTCTCTTCTACAGAGGCTGGGTGGGGTTAAGGTGCTGGCACAGAGCCCCAGTGTGAGTGTGGAGGAGGAACTACACCTGCAACTTCCCAGGAGCACTAGGCTCTAGGGACAGGGGTGCATCTCACTGTGGAGGAGAGCGTGCCACCTCCAGGAAGGCCTGGCCTTCAAGGCCCAGCCACTCTGACACCTGCCAGCACACTTCTAGTTCCCAGCACCCTGGGGGAGGGCAGTCACATGACCACAAAGTCACAGGGAAGTTTTCAGGAGAATTTGGCTTTGGGCTGTGCTCTGTGGCTGCCTAGTCAAGGGGAAAGGTCCACTGGTCCCACCTTCCAAGGACAGGAATAGGCTAAGCAGCTTGCCCATAACCCCAGGGCTGTTAAGAGGATACAGCATAATCTGAATCCATTCCCGGGAGCAGCAGGCTGCATGGGATCTTCTGGTCACCTCCTGGCCAATGTGGGGGAAACAGAGCAAATTGTGGGGAAGTCACAAAACCAAGAATATCTCTGTAAGAAGATAGGTTTACCAATGAAGGCAGCTTGCTGAGAGGGTGGGGATAAGGGAAGCAGAGAATCCTATACCTCCAAATGAGGAATCAGGAGAGAAAAGAAAAATTATTTTAGATTTTTTAAATGATTTATTCATTTATTTTTAGAGATAGGGGAAGAGAGGGAGAAAGAAAGGGAGAGAAACATCAATGTACGAGAGATACATCTGTTGGTTGCTTCTTATATGCCTCCAGCTGGGGGTCTGGCCTGCAACCCAGGCATGTGCTTTGACTGGGAATCAAACTGGAGACCTTTCGGTTTGTAGGCCAGCACTCAATCCACTGAGCCACACCAGCCAGGGCTAGAATTTTGTTTTTAGGTTTTAAAAAGGAGTGATGGAAACAATCCAAATGTCAATCAGCGGATGAGTAGATAAACAAAATGTGGTATGTGTACACAATAGAATATTACTCAGCCTTAAGAAGGAATGAAGCTGATTCACACAGCAACATTGGTGAACGTGAAAAACATGAATGCTCAGTGAAAGAAGCCAGACACAAAAGGCCACATGTTGTATGATCACATTTATATAAAATGTCCAGAACGGGCACATCCATAGAGACAGAAACCATATTCGGAGGTGTCAGAGTGATTGCTAATAGGGGCAGGGTGCCCTTCAGGGTGATGAAGTATGCTGGAACGAGATGCAGGAGATGGTTCCACAACACTGTAATTGTGCTAAATGCCACTGAATTGTTCACTTTAAAATGGTGGTTTTATATTATATGAAGTTCATCCCCCGCAAAAATACTAGAATGAAAAGACATCTGAGCCTTCTTAGGTCCTGCATAAAACCCTTCATGACCCCCAGCACCTCAGAGAAAATGAGGAGGAACTTCATCACTCCCAAGTCTCCTTTGCTGCTTCATCTCAGAAAACTTTAGCAGAGTGAATGCATTAGTGAATAAATGGTTTGGAGGACCCAATACATCATTTCATCCTCCAGACACAACAGGAGCAAACAATGTCATCACCTCCAGAGTCAGGCCCTAGTGGTTCAAGAAACCCCCAGGACTTCCCAGCCCATAGCTGCCCCACTGTCCCAGCACTATGCTCCCTCTCCAGCCTCGGGCTCTCTGGAACTTGCTTTCCCACTTCTGGGACCAACACCTGCCTACAAGTGAGAGCCAGGAAGGTGAGCACCCATCTTCCCAAGAAAGCAGGAAGAATAAGAAGTCCCCTCAGCCCCAGTGCCCACCAGCTCCCAAAGCACTATAGGGAGTAAAAGGGCTGATGCCAAGCCCAGGGCATGTAGGTGGTACTGGATCCATGCAGTTGCAGGCAACCTGAGGTCCCCGACCTTGCACCTCAGTGTCCTCTCAGAGAGCCTTGGGAATGGGAGAGGGCCAACCAGGGGTAGAGGGATTTTGAGGTACTCAGAGTCTCAAAGATGTGGGATATGACCAGGTGACACAGGATATGATAGGAGGAAGACAGCTTGTGCTTGATGGAAAGGTTTCCCACCATGGGAAGCAGGAACACACAGGATTTGGAGTCCAGTGCAATCGTTGTCTGGGTTGTCAATGCTGCGGGGCCTGGCATGCCTGGGAGGCTGAGTATGCAGCCCTCCTGCAGGCTACAGAGGAAAGCAAGAACAGGGGCTCAGGAGCACCCTGAGTCTCCAGCTTGGCTCAGTTGCCTCTCCCCACCAGGTAGAGGGGATGCCCACTTCACAAGTCTCCTCCTCTCCCCAGCACAAAGCAGCCAGAGCTGCTGTGTCCAGCCCATCCTCCCTGACTGCTGCGTCTCTGCTCTGACAGTTTCCCAAGACCCCACGATGGACCCAAATCCTGAAGATATGAACAGAATGTCATTGGTTCATGGACCCTAGAGAGTCAAAGTGCCTCAAAGAGCACCAACCCCCCCTACTTCTCCTCTGTCCCCCACAAGGGCTACTCTCTATTGGACAGCCACTGCCAGGACACCCCCAGGAATGGGGCCCTGATGATACCCTCTGATGGGCCTCTGGGCCGCCTCAGCAAAGGCCATGCCCCACAAAAGCCTCTAAGGACCCATCAGGCACTCAGGTCCATCCTACTCCTCATCGTTTTTTTTTCAGCCCCTAGACCCTTACCTGTGGGTGGAAGGACACAGCATGAACAAGGAGTGACCTTGTGCTCACCTGGTGCACACCCTAGGCCCTGGGGAACAAAGAGGTCAAACCATCCAGAATCAGCTTCACACTGCAGCTGTGGGCATCCCAGGGAGAGGGGACAGGCACAAGGCAGAAAGCTGCAGAGGCCAGAAAGTGGGGGTGCCCTGGCTTCTCTTTCCAGCCCTGCCACCCCTGTGCTTAGACAGTGATGCCCATGGGGGCTCTCCGTAGGGGGAAAAGGGCTTGGCTGCATGCTGGGTTCTGGGCCTCACTCCCCGATTCCACAGAGGGCTTCCTGGCAGCCTTGCCTGGGGCCCTGCCTGCAGTGAAGGCATGCTGAGATGTCTTCCCCAACCTCCACAGTCCTGCTGGCCCCTCCAGCTCCTCCAGTCTGGACAGGTAAGCTACCTTCTCTGTGCAGCACATGGACCTTGGGGTCAGAACAGCTGGTGTGACCCCTTGGAGCCTCCCTCCCTGGAATAGACTCAGACTCAGTAGGTCCAAGCCAGTAAGTCACCTTCATCACTAGCATCCCCTAGAGCCCAAACCAGAGCCCAAAGGTTGGGAGATACAGATCAGTGAGACCTGCTCCTCAGGAAACCTGCCCAGGCTGTACCACAGACCTCACCTTGCCAGGCTCTGGCACCTGGTGTGAGAAGCAAAGGGAGGATTCTGACCCCTGTCCTGCTATCAGCCAACTGTGTGACTCAGGCATGCTCCCTGGTCTCTGGGTCTTTATTTTCTTGGCTGTCAAACAGGGCAGGCAGGAGCACAGATGTGACAGGGCTGTGCTGAGGCTTCTCTGCCCTCATCACCTCCTGGGAAGTAAAGGACCACAGACCACCTACTTCCACCAGCTTCCCTTTGGCCTAGGAGGTGGCAAGGCCCAATGGGGAGCTGTATCCTGTCACTACCTATATGAGCCATACATGGGCAAAATTCTAAGGGCTTACATCCTTAAAACAGCAAGACTACTGCTAGGATTTATCTCAGGGATTTATCTTTCACATGTGTAAGAGAGATGAGTGAGGACATTCCCCAAATATCATTTCTGGGAGCTGAAGATGGGAAATGAACTAAATGCCCTTCAAGGAAGTACAAAGAATTATGGTGCCTTCTGATAGGGGCTGCCCCTCAGCTTAGCACAGAGGAAGTCAGAATGTCCACAAGTGGGAGTTAAGACACCTGGGCTGGAACTCCAACCAAGCCCACTGGGCTGCTGTCTACAGGGTGTGGGCCAAGCCAAGCTACAAGTGAGTGGGAAGCAACCCTTTCTATGTACACATCCTCCTTGTGCTGGGCAAGACTCCTAGCACACCATAGGCTGTTTCCTTCCTCCGGTCTCACAGATGGGACAACTGTCCCCAAAGCCCCTGCACTACCCCTCACAGCCTCTGGGGAACTCTGGGAAGGAGGGAGGAAACTGGCAGGGACCAGAGTCCCACCCTGGACATAGAGGCAGGCATGGCTGGGCGGAGGTGGTCAGGAGGAGGAATACTGGGCCTGGGACCAATG